CCCCGCCTGCTCCAGGCTAGCGCTCGGGAGGGGCGGGCCGGGCGTGACGCGCCGTTTCTAAAGGCGGCCTTCGCCCCTGCACGATCCCCCAGCTATTGGCCGGCGGCTTCTCTGCTGCCTGGCTGCCTGCCTGAGAGCGGCGGGCTGCCCAGAGGGCTCGGGGGTGAGGCTGGCCTTGTTGTTGCCTCTTCCGCCTCACAGCTGTCTGCTAGAGCCTATCACAGCCCACTAGGCAAGAAAAGAGACCCTCCGTGAAGTCCGGAGCTGGGCGGCAGTGAGAACCTTCCAGGCTGGGGCTGAAGCCCCGCCCCTCCCGCCAGCTGGGGAGGGGTGGGTCTAGTGAGAAACTCTCTGCAGTTCGGGCTAGTCTGGAACTCATTATGCAGCCCACGCTGGCCTTGAATTCGCTGCGATCCTCCTGCCCCAGCCTCCCGAGAGTTAGGGATACAGGCGTGCGACAGGACGCCCTACTAAGTCTCTACTGTTTTTGACAAGTGTCTGGATTCCAACTACAATTCTGATCTGTTTTAGGTAAAGCAAGGTCACTCGCTTCTCATATCCAGGAACGTCAGCAGAAATGTGCCTAAAATAGCGATTCCAAGACTTCAACATGTCATGGGCTGGTTGAATTTGTCTATAAATTTTGCGTGGTCAATTAAAAATCATTGCACTTTAACAAAAACAACAGCAGTTTAACACCCAAAGTACGATTATACTCTTATTGCAAATTTAAGGATACTAACAATAAATTTGATATTATCCTATCATTGGCGCAGTAGAAATTCGTGAAACCTAGTCCTGCACCTGACACATAACTATCCATACACTGCCCCCTAGAGGCCAGAGGCTTGGGCTACAGTCTTAATGAGTTTAAACCAAGGTCTCCGCCTTTTAAATTTGGAAAATCACGTATACTGTACCTTCCCTTTCTGGGGAGTGCTTTTTCCAGGAATCAAGGACTCGAGCGTGAGGCTGGGGGATGTACTAAGAAACAGAAGGAAGTAGAACTGGCAACAAAAACTTGATTTGGCTCTAAACTTTTTGGAAATAGGTTTCTAACCTGTGCATAATTAATCACTAGAGAACTGAAAGCCCAATCTATACCGTCAATTGGAAAAAGAAAAAAAAAAGTTTTATCCCAAGGGGGAACATACAGAGAATTTAGGGACTATCTAGAAGCCACAGGGGAAGACTCCTTGTTTGTGCCTTTAAACTTCATTTTACAGAGGAAGAAACCAAGGCATACAGCACTCTGACTGTAAACGTACCTATTTTCTCATCCCTCCATCACTCTCCCTTTAGATTTTGATGAACTGAAGGGCTTACTAGTAGGTTTTTTTTGGCGGGGTTACCGGGGATAGAACCAGGACCTCAAGCTTTCAAGTCAAGCAGCCGTGCCACTGAGCTAAATCCCTGGTCCCTAGTAGTTGAAAGTAAAATCTGGGGGGAAAAAATCCCTGTTGAATGCCTGAAGTCATATGATTAATCAATAAAGCTACTTCAGTGATTTTTTTAATTTGAGATACGGTTTTGCCAAATTGCCTGGGCTGGCCTTGAACTTGTAATCCTCTGGTTTCAGCCTTCCTAGGTGCTGTGATTACAGGCATGTGCCATTGTGTCACAGTACCTGTTTTGTTTTGATTTTTAACCTTGGGGTTAGAGCAACAGACCCTTAAAAGTACACATAAATGTTTGTATACTACTCCAAAGGATTCACAAATGTCACTTTCCCCTCTAGTCTCATCAGTGGGCTGAGATCCAGACCACCCCTGCACACCTATATACATTCTACTAAGGGCCTAAAAAGAGAAAATCAGGATCAAAATTGAGAAACTATGGAGTTTTTTGAATAGGGTGATTGATTCAACAGAAATAAAAGAGCTACTTTTCCAAATGAATTCTTCTACTAGTCAAGAAAAAATTAACACATTCACGATGGGGCCATAATTGGTATGTCAAGCTGCTGACATTAGTAAAAACTCCTAAGAGTAATGGATCCATTTGTACCACCAATGGTTTGGGCTGCCCAATGGGACAGTCATGCATGTAACACTAGTGGCTCAAGCCAGTGGGAATGTGTTAAAGGGATCGAGGTATGAAAATGCACAGAAATGCATGTTTCTGTATCAGGTAAGAGAGCAAAAAACAAATCATCACTCCAATGCACTTTTCTTTTCTTTTTTTTTTTCTTTTTTTACTTACATTAAATACATCGATAAATCAGCAGTTGCATTCTGTTACCACGATTGTTATGTTGGGGAAGAATAGGAAAGAAAGGCAAATGCTTTCTTAGAAGAAAAAAGATATCCCTCCTCCCCTAAAACAAAACAAAACAAAAAAATTTATCAGAAGAAAAAAGATGAAGAGCTAGGAAATTTAAAACTAAAATCCTTAAGCCCCAAAAGAGCTCAAAGTAGGGCAGAAAAGCTGGTAGAAATAGAAGGAAGGCAGCAAGATAGGCCTGGAAGCTAAGGCCAATACTGCTCTAAGGGGTGAGGGATGGGAGAAGCCTGGAGAAATGGTTTCCCAGCCCCAGGGCAGTGAAACATCTTCACTCCTGCTCCAAGCGGAAGGCTGCACACGTAAGGAATTTCATTTCTAAGAGACTTAAAGAGCCATTTTAGTTCTTCCACTTGTAAGAAGGATGCACCGGGTGCTTTGGGGGAGGGATAGTGGGTTCTGGGAAAAGAAGGGAAAATGTGTGTTGTTTCAGGGCCATGGGAACTAAGGCTGCCCCTGGAAAAGGAAGGGAATTGTGGCCCAAGTGGAAGAACCTAAGCTGGGTCCTTTACAATCCCAGTCTCATATGGATTTCTCAGCTCCTCTGGGACAGGAGCCTGCAAGCCAAAGAGCAGAAAGGTTCCAATCCTACATTACTGTGACCTTTCCTGTTTGTCTTCCTCAAAACTCTGGGCTGGAACAAGAAGGAATTTAGACTTCTCTCTTGCCTTGATGGTTTCCCACAGACATCCTAAAACACCTGATAAGAGATGTGAAGAGAGCTAGAGATTTTAGAAGGACCACGGTCCTCCGATGACATGAGTCAGTTGTGAAGGACCCTCAGTGCCAGTCACTTTCTGTTACAGCAACAGGTGATATGATGTGAGGGAGCCAAAGTCAGGCCGCTTGGTACTAGCTTCTAGTTGATACGCTGGTTGCATGGGAGGATATAGGTATGGGGATAAAGATGGAAGAACTACAGTCAAGATACTAACAAGGGAGAAAAGAAATAGTGCCCGATGGGAGGTAGGGGGTAGAACAGGCTGTACAGTGAGAATAAAGATTATACCTATTTACAGGGAAGTAAAAAAGTATGGTAATGAACAGCAATTGAATGTGAACCCTGGGGCCAGAAAACTCTCTTTTGTCTGATTTCTCTTTACTCCCCTACCTTGGCCTATGCTATAAAGGCCACACCTCTGTTGCTCAGTTAATTCTCCAGAAAGGCAAACCTATATGTAAGAGTGAGGTTGGCAAGAAAAAGGTTAAGAATTAGACTTGGAGAAGGAAGCTAGCAGTGGAGTCTGTGCTTGAGTAGCTGCCACTGGAGCTGTTCTCTGTAGCCTCCATCCCCAATTTTATACCTCAGATTCTACTTAATTAAAAAGGTGAGAGGGCAGGTAAATCAATCAGGACCCCCATAAAACAAGTATCCTGACTGAACTACCATCAATTAAAGTGCAAACTGCAGGGGGATATGGAGGGTGGGGCTGAGGCCCCCTAAAGGCCAGGGATGAGGGGAATGCATATGTATAATCAGAGGATGGGTATCAGAAACCGGCCCCTCCTCCAATTAGATCACAGCAAAGCCAAAGGTGCAGGCAACCAGTGAAGATTCTTTGGAGGACTCCAGGCTCCAATCCCCACTCTAGGGGAGAAGCTACCTAAGAGGATGGGTGAGGAAAACTGGGCTTTGCAAGAGTTCCAGAGCCACAGATGAGCCTGCACCTCTGCCTCTGTTCAGCCAGCTAACATGACTCCCACACAGTTCCTGAGAGCTTGCCTCCCAATTCTCACCTCTCCCTAGGAAAACCCTCCACAAGGCCAACTCACGGATACTGCAGTGTTTTCAAATATGAGAAACTCCAACCAAATGAAAACAAAGAGGAACTTTCCCTCCTCCTTCTGAGCCTTATTTTTCCCCAGGACCCATAATCTACTAAACTAGTAACCTCCCTTCTCAGTTTCTGGGTTCACCACCTTCTCCATCCTAGGAGGGGAGGAAAAGAGGATCATGAACAAGGATGGACCAAAAGCAGAAAGGAGGAGGGGCAGGAGACAAAAATGTTTTCTGAAAAAATGGGGAAGAACACAGGGGAGGAAGAGGACAGATAAGTAGGTCACTGTCTTGCACCTATAATACAAAGTGAAGAAAGTTTGTTTTGGAAGGTAAGTCCTGGGGAAATTCGACCCCCAAGGCCCCGAGGAGGGTAGGAGGCCAGTGGCAACAGCTGCCTGGTGTTGGTTGCTGAAGCGTTAAAAAGTGCCATGACGGAGCTGGCAGGAGGCAGCCCTTGGGAGCCAGGGCTCAGTGTGCTGTTACCGTAGGGGCTGTGTGCTGAGGGGTGGGGATGGAGGTTATGTCTTAGCTCTCGTGCTAGCTCCATACTTGTTTGCTGCTAGCCATCCCCTCAGTTGCTACAACACTGGCTCTTGTTCTGCTGGGACTGCTCATGGAGATCCACACCTCGGCTTCGGCCTGCTGCACCCCCCAGATTCTGGGGTTCACTCTTTGGCAACTTCTTAGCTAAAGATAAAAAGAGAGGGGAACTAAGTATGACAGATTTTATTCAATCTCCCTCCCCCAAACAAGCACACAAACACTACTGGATCAGAGAAAGAAGTCAGAAAGGTGAGAAAATAGAAGAAATGTTCTGAAAAGGGGAGAATTCACTGCTTGCAAACTATACTCAACACAAGAGGCCATTACCATAGCAAGGTATTTCCACGACTCACTCTGTAGCCCAGATTGGCCTTGAATGGCAACCCTCCTGCCTCAGCCTCCCTAATACTGGGATTACAGGCATGTGTTGCCACACCCAGGCAAAAGTAGCTTTTTTTGGCACTGTAAATCCCCTACTTATGAACATCTGAGATGCGACACAAATGGACCTCACATTACAAACATTCACAGATGCGAACAAATTGCAGAAGCAACTCACCCTAACCCTGTACTACCATTTTAAGGTAACTGTAAAAGTAAAAATATTTATTTACGGTATTTTTGTGGTTTTTTTTAATACTTTACATTCATCATATATCTGTGTCAAAGGTGTATGAGACTTAATTTGTTGGACTTATGAACATAATCAACTTACAAACATTCTTCCAGAACACAACCTGTTCATAAGTCAGGGACTTACTGTATCAGGGATCAAACCCAGGGGTGCTCTACCACTAAGCTACATCCCCAGACTGACTGACACTCTCCTCTCTCTGTTTTAGGAGGGACTGGGGATGGAAATCAGGGCCTTTCCATTGAGCTACATCACCAGTTGTTTTTTTATTTTTGCGATAGGGTCTCACTAAATCACTGTTAAGTGATTTCCTGGCTCAGCCTCCCTGGGATTACAGGCATGTAACATCATGCCTGGCTCTTTTTTGTTGTTGTTGTTACTGGGGATTGAATTTGCGACCTTGCACTTGCGAGGCAGGAGCTGGAACCACTTGGCTAAATACCTGGGCCATATTTGTTTGTTTGTTTTTTGAGACAGAGTCTCACTAGGTAGTTCAGACTGGCCTTGAATTCACTATGTAGCACAGGCTAGCCTTGAACTCAGGGCCATCTTCCTGCCTCAGCCCCCCAACTGCTGAGATTACAGGCCCAAGCCACTACACCAGCTGACTTTGCCCCCCTCCCCAAGTACCAGGGATTGAACTCAGGACCTTGTGCTTGTGATGCAGGTGAGGCACCACTGAGCTGAATCCCTGGCCCTGGCTTTGTTCTTTTGTGGTGCTGGAGATTAAAGCCACAGTCCACTGCGTTATACCCCCAGCCACATATCTTGTAAGAGTTTTTTTTTTTTTTTTTTTTTTTTTTTAAACA